GAGGAGCCTAGCTTTCCCTGGGCAGGGCTGGGGAGCTGGGGGACCAGGGGGCAGGCCTGTTCCCTCCTCTCTGTATCCCCCTGCCCTCACCCCCACTGGGTGCCCAGGAAGGAGCCCCCTGGGTTGAATCCTCCCGTTCTCCTCAGGCCCAGACCCACTCCAATGAGACAGGACAAGCGGTTACAAAGCACAGTGTTTACTAAAGGCACAAAGTGGGGAGACTGGAGGGGAGCTGCTCTTCCAGCAGAGACCCCACACTAGCCTGAACCCGGCACCCTCTGCCGGCCACCCCCGCCCTCACACCGCCTGGCGGAGAGCTGTTAGCACCAAAGGGGGGCTGGGGGCGCCCCACCTGTGTGAGGGGGGCGGCCAGGCTGGAGGACGGGCTTGTTGCCATCTGAGTCCCAGAAAAGCAGGCTGGGGCTCCCCCTGGACCAGTCACCGCTTCAGAGAAGGAACTTGCTGAACCCCCTGCTCCAATGAGTCCTTCACTGGTGGGGTGGGAGCTCGGGCTCAGAAGACAGGACCCTCCAGGGCCTCCTCTCACCTCCAGCACACCCCCTGGGGCCAGGGTCACGACCTCCTCCTGCCCAGCCCATCAGAGGGCTGCCCCCGGAGTACTGAGCCGGGTCGGGGCTTCTCCCGACCCCACAGGCTGCCAAGCGGGCACTAAGTCCAAACAAGGGGCCGAAGGGAGGAGTGAGGCAGGGCAGGTGGCTACTTCACACACAAGTGCAGCCTGAAGGGGGGAGGGAGGCGGCCCTGCCCTCGCAGCCCCCAGGCCTGCCCGTCCCAGGGTCACAGCACATCGCCCTCTTCCATGCTGAAGCTGCTCCTGCGGCTGCTGGCCTTGGAGGCCTCGGGGGACATGGTGGAGAAGAGGGGGTCGGAGGCCAGCGGCAGCAGGGAGTTGTCCAGGAGCATGAGGTCCAGGTCCTTCTTGGACAGGTTGGGGAACAGGGAGCCGGGCTCTTGCCCCATCGGCTCAGGGTAGCCGGGGGGCCCTTCGTCGCCCCCACCCCCGAAGCTCAGGCTGTGGCTTAAGTCCAGATGGTGGAATGGGGACGGTGGCTGGGGTGGCTGGGCCTGCGGGGGCAGCGGGGCCTGGGGTGGCAGAGCCGGCAGTGACTCCGGGTCGGGGAGCTCGGCCCCCATCAGCAGGGCCTCCCCCCGGCCCTCCTCGCTAGGCAGCTCCTGCTTTACCACCTGCTGGGCCAGCTCGGCCATGTTCATGCCGGACGGGGAGGTGGTGGGGAGGCCGTGCACTCGAGCCTGCATCTCCAGCTCCTGTGTTGTGGGCAGACAGAGGGCTAAGGGCACACACCCATGGACACCAGCTGCCCCAACCCCTGCCCCAGCCCTTGCCCCTCTCCCGTGGCCTCCAAGACCATAAATTGTCTCAGCACAGGGCAGCTCTAGTCTAGAGTCTAGACCTGGGCTTTTTCAAACTCTAAGTCACAACACATTAGTGGGTTCTGAAACCACTTAGTGAGTCTTGACCAGCTCTCCCTCTATTTTCCTTAATTGAAATAGACTTGCCTAGACTAGACTAGACTAGAAATTACCAGAATGCATTGCATCTATTAAGGAGAGGGCTCTTTGATGACACTTTGATCTTTCACTTTGAGTGTGGCTATGTGTGCTGTATTGTCATGCAAATTACAGTTATCTACTGTGAGAAATAGAAAAAAATATAGAAACAGTAAAGTTTAAAAGCTTCAGTCCGATCGCCCTTTATATAGATGACCAGCCTCAGGTCCAAAGAGGACAGAGGCCCTCTAGCCAGGCCTAGACTAGACCCCCTGGCTCCAGGTGACTCCCAAGCCTTGCTTCTTTCGTTGGCCTCTATGGCGATCCTTAGCACTAACACCAAATGGTTTCAACTCTCTGCCTTCCACACATGGTAGGTTTGCTCTTTCCTGCCCCCTTGAGGTTAGGTGTGGACATGCACTTGTATTGATCAATTAACTGTAAGCAAAACTGTGACGAGTGCCACCTGAAGAGTAACTATGGCTTTAAGAGCCAGCTCTAGATGTACCTGTCCATGGCCCTGGGTCCCAGAATGAAGGTCTCACAGAACAGGACCTCCAGCTGATATTTGCTGCTTAAAGTTGCTGGGAATGTTTGTTACCAAACCATCACATCCTGACTAATACATCTTCCCTTCTCATGGCATCATTCCCATGACTTCAGTAAACACTGCCCCTGAGGTCAAGAGCCAGGCCAGGGGTCAGGAATCAGAGCTTCCCAAGAGGTCCAAGTGCAGGGGCCAGACCTGGATTCGCAGCCAGAGCTGCTTATTGGTCATCTCTAGGCGCCGAGAGTGGTTCTCAAGCTCCCGGGACTTCTGCAGGTCCTTCTGCATCCTCCGGATGTAATCAACAGAGGCCTTGAGGATGGTGCCCTTGTTCCAGCGCACGTCCCTGCAGGGCAGCAGAAGCAGAGGTGTGTGCTCAGGGCGGCCAAGGATTTGCCATGCACTCCGCGGGTGGAAATGAAACCCTGCTTTGGTTTCAGAAGCCGATGCCACCTGTCCCAGCTTTGCCCTGGAACCCCAGACCCAGCCAACCCCTACCTGTGGCTGAGGCTGATCTCCCTACACAGGGAGCAGGCCTCCCAGGGACTTCATTGTCACACCCACCTCCCTAATCCCGTAGAACCCAGCGATTCAGAACAGCCTCCTTCCCCAGGCCTTCCATTTCTGCCACCCAAACCCATACCCGTCCTTGACCCTCGTGCTCCTACCCCAGCCCCCTCCGCACCAGTCCAATGTCCTCAACGAACTTTCCCACATGGTTCCTCCTCCAGGAAGCCCCCCTGGCCCAGCCTCACTCCAGAACAGCTGCTCCTCTGCCTGGAGTTTCCCGATTCGAGTGAAGGAGGGACCTTTTCCCAAACAGCTGATAAGCTCTTAGAAGGCAGCAATCAAGGGATTCTCTTCCCACCCTTCCCCCTGGCAACCAGCATGGGGCTGTTTGTCCCAGCCCCTACCCTTCCCCCAGAAACCCGCTCACAGGTCGTTGGCCTTGGGGATCAGCATTCCCAACTCCTTGATGCGGTCGTTAATGTTGAACCTCCGTCTCCTTTCAACTAAAGGGAACACATGCAGGAGGGAGCCATCAGAGGCATGAACCCACCTGGGGAGAAGGGCCAGCCCGAGGGAGGGTGCCTTAGCCTTCTGGGAAGCAATGGGCGTCCCAAGGAGTGGGATCTCTACGGGATGGGGGGATGGGCGCAGCCAGGCACCATCAAGGGGCTCTGTGAGGGAGGGCTGCCGGCAGGACACCCCCACTGCCCAGGAGTCCCCAGGTTCCACGCCCACAAGAAAACAATCTGTAAACTCATTCACTCTGAGGTGCTGGAATTTCAGGAATATCTCTCCCCGGGAGCCCCTCTCCCGCCCCTTCCAGAGCCAGGCAGTCTCAGTTGGCCCAGTCCCACCAAAGGCCTTGGGGAGGAGAGGGAGGCAGGGGAGGGGGCTGGTGGGGAGGACTCACTTAGGTTGTGATTGTCCTTCTTCTGCCGCTCCTTGGCCAGGGCCCGGCTCTCAGCATCTGGAGGCCAGGAGAGAAGCAGGGAGGAGCTGGGAGGGAGGGAGAAGGGGGAGGGGTGGAGGCCAGGGCATAGGGAGGCAGGGAGGAGGTACCTGTAAGCTCACGCTTCTGGGTCAGGTCAGCTGGGCAGGAGCTGCTGGTGACACCCACCAGGGAGGCTGTGACCTGAGGGTCACCACTGTACACATTCAGGTGGCTGCTGGACAGCGGCAGCTGTGGGGTGAGGTGGAAAGGGGGGCCCAGTGAGCAGCCCCCTCTCCATGAGGGGTCCTCACTAGGGCCCATCGCTCCAGGCCAGTTTCAGCTCTAAGGGGCCTGCTGCCAGCACCAGCGGGGTCGGAATTCACGCGGGGCCTCTCCAGCCGGCAATTCCACCTGAGAGTCTGCAGAGTCCAGGGCTGAACAAGCCACAGGCCCCAAGAGTTCAGCCTCCAAGTGGAGCCTCGAGGAGGCAGTGAACAGCCAGGTACCAGTTTGGGAGAGGCTCTGCCACTCAGGCTTTAGGAGGTCCTGGGCGGGGCACCTAATCTACTCTGCAGTTTCTGGAAGGCGTCCAGAGGGCGTGGAACTGGAGTCCTGAGCAGAACTGATACAGGGGCGGGTGGGGGCTGCCTGCAGGAGTGCAGTGACCCAGGGCCGGGCAGGGGGTGAAGCTGGATCCAAGCTGGATCCCGGCGTGCTGGGCTCAACTTGCAAAGACCTGGGATCTGGGGATGGGCAGCCAGGGGGGGTATAAGCAAGTGCCTGGCAGGAGCAGACCTGGGCTCTGGAAAGACCCCCAGCTCCTGCCACAGAAACATACAGAGCACATCACAGGCCCAGAGCCCTCACGGGCACAGGCACCCACAGGGCACAGAGACCACTACACGGACGGGCACGGGCCCTCTCTCCCTCCCTAGACCTCGTGCCCCTGCTGGCAGTCGGTTTCCGGCCCAGCTGGCCCTGGGCAGCTCCTGCTGAGCTACTGGGCAACATCTTGTTGGCTGGGGATTGAGGAGGGACTCCTTGCGTCCCCACTGTGAGATGGGGGGGTGGTGGAGTTTCCACAGTGGCAGGGGCCGGGGACCAGGGCGGCAGGCTCAGGCCTGAGGGGCAGCAGTGAACAGCAGAGGTTCAGAACCCCCAAGAAGGGGCAGGGATGCCTGCAACTTCACCTGCTCGGTGTAAACACGTGTCACCTTTGTGTGCAGCTAGCCCCCCGTTTCTTGCTGTGTCTGATCTTCCCCCCATCCTGTGAGTAGAAGGCATCTTCCCTATTTTGCAGCTGAGAGCAAGGACTCAAAGAGTGAAGAGACTTCCCAAGGTCACAGCCAAAGCCAGAAGCCAGGCCTCTTGATTCCAAGCCTGGCTCCGTCCCACCTGCCGCCTCCCTCTGCCCAGGAGGCCCGGGGAGCGTGCTCGCTGCCAGAGGCTCTGGAGGAAGGGGACAGAGCCGCCCATGTCACTCGCCCCACGGAGTGAGGCCCCGGGCCTGTGCCCGCTGAGCCCTAGGCTTGGAGAGGAGGGGAGCCCCGGGACCCAAAGGAGCTCACCAGCTCTGGGCCTCCTTGTGGCCACTGCTGCCCCCCAGGAGTGCTCCCTGCCCCCCTCTGCGGAGGGCCAGCACCGTGCCTCCTGCCCCCACCCCACCAGGGAGCCTCCCCAACGACCCAGGCGCTGGTCCCTGCTGAAGCCCCATGGTGTACGCAGGTGGACGCACGCTCCTCGGGATTCTAGTGCTCCTGGGCCCGGCCCTCGTTACATGATTTGATGGAGGCGACCCCGGTTCTGGTTCTCTCCAGACTCAGAGCCAGGTAGGAACGCAGCCCCTCCCTCGGACACCGCCTCTCCCTCTGGCACCGCCACCCTCCCTGGCCAGCAGTACCGTGTTGGGCATCTGAGACTCAGGATTGATGAAGCCCAGGACGTCGTCCAGACACATAATGTTGTCGATGACGTCAAACTGAAAGAGAAAAGTCTGCTGGGGCGGGCCCACCAGGAGGCCAGGGCAGGGGCCCGGCAGCCCTGCCCTGAGGCACCGTGGAGCCCACCCTGCTCCACCTCCTGATGGGGGGTGGGGGGGGGGGGCCATGAGCTTCCAGGTCCCACAGCCCCAGGGCCCAGCCAGGCCTCCTCCCAAGGAGCCAAATTGCCCAGGGAGATTGGCTGTGCAGGTTTCCTGTGAGTCTCCCAGCAGGCTGGGCTCCCTGAGGACAGGGCCGTGTCCCCCTCAGACTGGGGCTCCCTGAGGACAGGGCCGTGTCCCCCTCAGACTGGGGCTCCCTGAGGACAGGGCCGTGTCCCCCTCAGACTGGGGCTCCCTGAGGACAGGGCCGTGTCCCCCTCAGACTGGGGCTCCCTGAGGACAGGCTGTGTCCCCCTCAGACTGGGCTCCCTGAGGACAGGGCCGTGTCCCCCTCAGACTGGGGCTCCCTGAGGACAGGCTGTGTCCCCCTCAGACTGGGGCTCCCTGAGGGCAGGGCTGTGTCCCCCTCAGACTGGGGCTCCCTGAGGGCAGTACCTTGGTGGCAGCCACGGGCCAGCTCCTCACTCACCTCCCTCTCAGGGTTGGAGCCGATGTGCAGCATGGCCATGGGGCTGTTGGGCGCACTGTTGCCCGCTGAGGAGGACACCACATGGCCAGCCCGCACCCCCGGGGAGGCGGCTGGCAGGGGCTTCGGGGAGCCCTGGGCGGGGCTGACGTGGGCATTAAACTTGTTCCCGTAGGTCTCGGACAGGTACTCCCGCACCTTCTGGTCCCGGGACTGCTGCAGGTGGTAGGAGGTGGGGTTCTCCAGGTAGGACTGCACCTGGCGGGGGAGAAGGCGGCTCGAGTGTGTCCTGGGACGGGCAGGAGGGGACAGGCCGGAGCGAGCCCTACCTTCAGCACCTCCCCGGGCACAGGGGGTGGAGACTGGAAGTGGACGGGGGTGCTGATGGCCGGGGTGGGTGGCCCCCCCAGCTGCTGCTGCTGCTGCTGCTGCATGTAGTGCATGACGGCCTGCTGCTGCATGCGCTCCCGCTGCTCCTCCTGCTGCGCCTGCTCCCGCATGAGCTGCATGCGCAGCCCGATGCGCGACGCCATGGCGGCCGCTGGCGCTGGCTTCCTGCGGACAGGGGACAGGGGACAGGTCGGTGAGGCGCGTGTTCGCTTCCGAGCACTGGGGCTTCAGGGAGGGGCCCAGACAAGAGGGATTGCACCTGTTGTGCAGGAGACACCGAGGCCCAGAGCAGGGAAGGGATCTGCCCAGGGTCACAGCGGAGCCTGGAATGCGAGTGTCCTGGTCCTGGGCAGAAGCAGATTCCTTCTGCTGCGCACGCTGCAGGTGTCAGCCCCCAGCGCTGGCGTCAACCTCCCTCCGCTCGCTCACACGTGGTCCCGTCAGATCTGACCTCAGGTGCGTCGTTTGCCCTCCACATCGCTGCCACATTACCTAGCTGTCTGGGGAGCCTCTTCCTTTTCTTGCCTCACTAGATTCTACTCAGAACTCAGTAATCAGAGGGATCCCGTTCAAACCTGTCAGATCCTGCCCCTCCCTCTGCTCAGCACTCGCCATGGCTCCCACTTCACTCAGTAAAAGCCCAAGTCCTCACCAGAGGACCCTCTGAGCCCGCGCCTCCCCTCTCCACCGGCTCGAGCCACCCCCGACCCTCACAGACACCAGGTGCCTCCCACCGCAGGGCCTTTGCACTGGCTCTTCCCTCTGCCTGGATGCCCTTCCACCAGAGGCCGGGTGGCTCCCGGCCGGCATCGTCAGTCCCTTCATCTTCAGGAGTCATAAGTATCACCTTACAGAGACTTTCCATGACCTCCTCCTCTAAAATTGCAAAATCCCCACCTCTTTTATGTTTTTCCGTATCACCTATCGCCATCGTAAATATCATGCATTTTTGCTTAGTTCTTCCATTACCTGTCTATCTCTTACCAGGAATGCAAGCTGCCCTGAGGGCAGGCATTTTGTCTGTCTTGTTCCCTGTCGGCCCTTTGGCCTGGAGCCCAGGGCCTGTGACGGGGGACACTATCGCTCTATCGCTGCGCTGCGTGCGGGGAGCATTGGCTATTTATGAACCGGGACTGGCCACACAGCAGCGAGCCGACGGCAGCTCCTGAGCTCCTGGAGGCCACGGCCCAGCAGGAGAAAGGCCAGTCCGGAGGCCATGACAGCCCTGGGCAGGGAGGGCCGCTCCAGGCGCCGGTCCTGCTGGGTTCCCAGTGGGCTGCTCACCGCCCCGCACGGCAGCCTGAGCTCTGATGGGATCAGTAGGACAGGGGGCTAAGGCCTCCAGGCTAGTCTGGGAGGAGGGAGGAGGGACAGAATGAGTCCTGCAGCAGGGCCCACTCTGTCCCTGGCCCACTAAGTGGCCCTGGTCACATCCCTCCCCTCTCTGAGCCTCCATCTCCCTGTGCACAATATCGCCATCTTAAATATTAGAGAGGGTTGGCCTGGGTGATGTCTAAGGTCCCCCCCAGCTGGGATGGGCTGAGACTCCCTGAAAGGTGCAGGGCCCCTGCAGGTGCCCAGACTTAACACAGGTCCCGGCAGCGGCTGGCGGGTCCCATCCCAGGGATATTGCAAGAGGCGGCACGACCTCGTGGTTGAGCACCCAGCTCTGCCGCTTCTTGGCTGTGTGACCTTAGGCAAGTCACTTAACCTCTCTGAGCCTCAGTTTCCTCATCTGTAGACAGTTTCTACTTTGGAAGGTTGGTGAGAGTGTTAAATCACAATAATGCGCATGGCACTTGGAGGCTGAGTGGGTAATGGATGGGCAGCTGGCAGGGGCAGCTGCCGTGCAGACCGGAGGCCAGAGCCGCACCCTGAGGCCTCTGCGGGAGGCAAAGGAAAGCGCACGGCTGACAGGTTCCGTCAAATGCCAGGCGCCAGACACAAGCATGGGCGGGAGGTACTGGCCAAGATTCCATGGAAGTCACCGGGCCCTGTGTCACAGCAATCACATCTGTCCGAGCATGCACTGTGGGCCGGTGCTGTGCGGAGCACTCTGCCTCCAACCGCCCCACGAGGGAAATTTGGTTTCCTTCTCCTGTTACAGACAAGGAAACTGAGGCACGGGGAGGTCAGGATCTCGCAGTGAGGACGGTGGCTGGGATCCAATCCCAGGCCGTGGGGAGGAGCTTGTCCCAGGTTGCACGTCTGGTTGGTGCAGAACCAGGAATGGAGTCCAAGCCCGCTGACCCCCACCCAGTCCCCGTCCACCACCACAGCTGCTTCCCCACCAAGTGGGGCAGCACCATCGCCTCGAGGCCTGCGCACTCCACGGCCCTCCCTCACCACCGTCCTCCCTTCACCGTCCTCCCTTCTCCGCCCTCCTAGGCCAGGAAGTAGTCAAGGGGCCGCCTCAGCCACAGGGGCCTCTGCCCAGCTCTCAACCGGACAGTCCCAAGGAGAGAGGGGCAGACACCCCCCTTCTGCCCTTCTCTGTCCTGTAGCAGGGACCCAGCTGCAGCCTCCACCCCTTCCCTGTGCCCTTACGGAGGGGGGCCTGTCTTTGACCCACTGGCCGCCTCACACACCTCCCACCGCTCTGACCCCAGCCCAGCCCGCCCCCTCCCTGCAGCTGCCCCACACTCACAGCAGCGCTGGGAGCTCCTCTGCCTCAGGGACAATCTCACTTCAGTTGGCCTCCGGGGAGGGGCCGGGGCCTGGCAGTGCCAGCCGGTGCGGGGAGACGGGGGCCGGGGGAGAAGGAGCCCCTTGTTTCTCTGACAAAGGGCTGGGCTGGAGCTGGCTCTGCCCGAGGAGACCCGGCCGGCCCTGCAGCCGCGCTGGCTGCCCAGCCTCGGTCTGCTTGCGTGTCATGTGGACGCAGGACTCCCGGCGCCACCACCCTCAGGGACAAGATCTCAGAGATTGTGAACCATGCGGGGCCTGAGCACCGAAGGCTGTGGGGAGTCCCAGCCCGTGCCCCATCCTCGACCGGGTGGCTCAGTGGCCCATTGTCGAAGCTGTCACCCCTCGCAGAGCTGCTCTTCCCACAAAGTCCCAGTCTCCTCCCCGGGCCCCTGGGCTGGGTGTGGGGTTGAGAGAGGGGCTTGAGGGGATCCGAGGGTGGATGAGGAGGTCCAGGGGAGACCCTGGGCCTGCAAACCTGACCCCCCGAGGACACCTGCTCACTCTCAAATCTGAGGGGCCATTCGCAGCCTCCCCAGTGCCGGGTCTTGGCAGGAAGAACTGAGAGGAGGGACACAGGGGAGCCCAAATGTCCCGGGCGTGGTGAGCACAAGACACAACATACACATGATGTATTACAGAACTCACCCCTGAAACCTACATAATGTCACTAACCAACATCACCCCAATAAAGTAAAACAAAGCAAAATGCTCCGGACCCCTCCCAGCATCGGGCCTCCAGACCCCCCAGGCCTGGGAAGGGTCCGCCGCGCATGTCCTCAGCAACCAGGAGCCTGGGGTGCCCACTGCTTCCTGCCCCACCCCCATGTAACCCTCCTCCTGAGGGGAGCAGGGGTCTGACGCCCCAGGGAGTTCCTGCCCCTGCCCAGTTGCATGGAAAAGCAGCAGGGACTAAAGTTTCAGTGAGAGAATGAGAGCCACCCCCATCCGCGCCCTGGGAACCCACAGGCCACTTCCTGCCAGGTTTACCCAGAATCTCCCACCGACTCTCCGTCTGCCCTGAGCTGACGCTGGGCTCTGGCTTAGTTATGACCAACACGAGCTACACAGTCCAACAGGGTCGGCCGGAGCCCCGCGCTGCCCAGACTGGCTGGGTGACGCTGGGAAAGCCACTCAGCCGCTCTGGGCCTTGGCTCCCTCCTTGGTGAGATGGAGCCCCGGCTCCCCATGGACTGTTGGGAGGATGCAAGGAGACAGTGAGGGTGCAGAACGGCCAGCCGAGACTTCGGGCCCTGCTGCGCGTTCCCTGGGGCTGCGGAGGGGACAGGGTTCCCCGGGACAGGCCCTCAGGCACCCAGTTCCCACGGCAGTTTCCACTGGGTGCTCCCTCCTGGGCTCCTCTGCTCAGGCCGGGGCAGGCTTCGTACCAGCGTGCAAGTGCGTGCGGGCCTCCCTCGGCAGCCGCCTAACCTCTATCCGAGCGGCTGAGCAGACCTTTCGTGAGGGAAGGTGTGGACAGAGGACAAGGAAAGAGGGAGAAATCACCCCCCGCCCGCCCCTCCCCCACCCCCGTGGGACAGACAAGGAGAAAGAGGACCTCAGAACAGAAAAGTCTCAGCACAGGAAAAAGACCCAGCACCGAGGGAAAAGCAACTGCAGGATGAAACGCACAGCCTGGGCACGCGGGCAGGAAACGGGCGGGTGTGCAGAACAGCTTAGAGGGATCGGAATGCTTCTTGAACGCTCACCCTGGACCAGGGCTGGCCATGTGCTTTTCAAACAGTCACTCGTCTCTTCTTCACAGCAGCTCTGTGAGGTGGCTCCCATGGCCCCCACTGTTCAGGGAGACACAGGCACAGAGAGGGAAAGTAACTTGCCCAAGGTTCCACAGCTGACAAGCAGCAGAACAGAAACTGGATGCAGGCAGCCTGGTTCACAGCCCCCACTCTATCCGCTGTTCTGAGCTCCCCCAACACCCCAACTGTTCAGAGTGGTCCCCGCTGGGAAGGGGAGGGGGGGCGGGAGCGGTAAAGAAGGGTTTCTATAGGTTCTTATTCCACTTTTGAATCACTTACTGTGATATGTGCTACTTGTGTGGTTCTTTTAAGACAAGGGAAAAGGAAGTTTGTGAGGGGCCCAATCATGTCCGAAGCTGGGGTCCCCCACGTCTACCTGGAGTCTGACCCAAGCCCCCGCCCTGCTCAGAGCCATGGTTGTTAGGCCAGCCAAGGGCCTTGGATGAGGACACTGATTGGCCACCAGAGGCCCAGGCCAAGGTCAGAAGGCCATGCCAGTTGGAGTTCTAGGGCCAGGACCCAGGGCCCATCGCAGTTCCCACTCCGGCCCCAGACAAGAGCCTTCAGAGACAGCACCGTCTGCAAGCCCCTAGCACTGCTCTCGCTGCGGCAGACCCTCCCATGGCCGGGCCGGAATTGCCCTGGGGGCCTTTCTGCCTTCCCGGTGGTCCTGTAGAAACTGGAGCAGGAAGCAGAAAATGCACCTGCGCCACTTGCCAGCAA